ACATATATTTTCAAGAATATATATATATATATATATAAATTAGATTTGTTGATAATAAATGTCAAACTTTAATACATATGTTACTTAGAAACTGTTTATAAAAAATAAGATTAATCGATTCAATTTTTTAGTTTAAAGTATTTTACTAAGCAGATCAATTTTATAAATTTTCATACAAAATTAAATTTTAAATAATATCTTTATAAATATTTAAATTATGTGAATGTTGATATATGTAATTATAAATATAATATAAGATAATTTAATAATTAAATTAATTAATTTTATATTTTATAAAAATTATTAAGCAGCCGAATAATATTATTTTAATATTTAATTTAAGTAATTATATATGAAACACCTTAAACAATCGTAACATAATTACTTTTTAATTTATATAAATTATTTGGTATAAATATTCAAACTAAATGTTAAAATAATATTACTTTTAAGTGGTCCAAATGTTAAAACTTAACATTCAGTTTAATAAGAAAAGAAAAATTTAATATTCAATTTAAACAAATTTTGACTCATTATTCAATATTTAATTTATAAAATAAAAAATTGTTAGAAAAATTTATAAAATTATAGTAAAGTATCTAAATAGTAAATGTTTACTAATGTATCATTTAATTTTTTTAATGCATTAGATTAAGTACTATTATTTGATTTTTAATACAATTTTTTTTTATAATTTTTTTTATTGTGTATTCAACATACTTAAAAAAAAGTTATTTTATAAGTTTATTTTTCATAAATGACTATTTTTTATAAGTATAAGGTCAAACATTAGTTAATGTGAATCTTTACAATTCTAAAATAATTTGTAAATTATTATTAATTGACAGTTATATATATATATATATATAATTTTTTTACTCTATAAATTTATGATATTTTCTTCAATTGTTTTAACTCTCTAATTTTTTCCTTATCCTTATCTTATATTGTTTTTACAGTGTTAGTTTATTTTTAAAATTAAAAATATTAAGAGAAGTGTTAAAAAATCAATAAAATGATTAATTTATTTAAAAAATATATATATTTTCTCTAACATTATATATAATTTAGTGAACCTCAAATAGGATTTAAATAATTTCAATATTTTATCTTTGAGACTTTGACAAAGAACAACTGTTATAAGTATAATCAATTAAAAAAAATAAATTATTTTATTATAAAAGACTTATGCTAACTAATTAATAATCCAAAAAAATTGAAAAAATAATAAAACAATTACTAGTATATATTATATTACGTTCCTGCGTATAATCTTTTTTATGTCCCAAAATTTGTAGATACAGGATTAACCGTAGATTTAGGTCTAGGCAACTAGACAAATCAAATATCTTACATTGAAAGCAAAGATAGGAATAAAATATTCTGAGATGTGAGATATCTTCTCAATTCACATGGAATAACAACCACCTTACACCAAATATGTGCTCATTAAAGAAACAATTGATTTTTTTTTCTTTTGTCTTTTTTCTTTTGAGGATATATTTTTAAAAAATATTTGTTTTATGCCTTGACTTCATTTTAAAAATGATTTTTTATATAATTATATATATAATTATTCTGAAAAAATGTATACTTTTTGTAATTTAAGTGCAGATAATATATATAATACCTTTAAAATAAAATATAAGGAATAAATATATAAAAATTGGATATAATTTATGAATAAAAAATATTTAACTATAAGTATTCTTATTTTTTATTGTCCCTTTCTTTAATTTTTGGTCAACATATCCCTTTCTTTTATGATGAGATTTTTGTTCTTCAGATGAAGAATTAGATTTGGGCTTATAAGTGAACACGGCCCAAAAGAAGCCTTTCAGATACGTTGGTTTTCTTGGTTGAAACGTGTTTTTTATTTATTTTTTAATCAAAATATTGAAAACACTGCAGAACATTATCCATGGATATGTGTCTGCATTAGAGAAAAAAGTTTTGTTATCTGCAATGATTTTATTTAGCTCAAAAAATATTATTTCTAAAAAAAATACATGTGATATACACAAAAAATTAGAAAAAAATAAAAAAGAAATATATTACGTGACTTTTTAATATTTGATAAATTTTATTAATGAATATTTTATTATATAAATAAGTTAAATTAAAAAATAAATGTTTAATATAAAAAATATTTCATAATAATAATAATAATGTAACAGAAAATATAATAATTTTAAAAATACTCTCGATTAAAACAATTTTTAGAATTATTTAAAAATAAAAATATTTATTTAATAGATAGAAGTGGATTGTATATAATCTCAATTATTCTGAAGTGTAGTATGTCCTTGTTACAAGTATGGAGTGTACAGAGCATTCAAGATCATTGCAACTTACCAAAATCTCTTTCTTTTGGATTCATAAATAGGGTAAGCCTGTAAGAATAAGATAACTGGCCAATGTATTACTCAGAATCCATACCCTTTGTATTATATATTCAAATAAAGTTATTGATTAAAATAAATTATAAATTTATATTACCAAACACATTTTTATTGTACATAATAACAAGTTTTGTTAAATAAATTTAGTGTTTGTTACTGTATTCATAAATTTGAAAGAATATTTATATTTTTTTAAAGATGAACTACTAACTTTTACTATTTATTATACATATTTAATATAACATTAATAATGATGATTATTTTAAAAAAAAGCATAAAATGTTTCTAATACAATTTATCAAAAAACATGCATACTATATATGATAGCTTGTTAAAAAGAAATTTTATCAAAGCTAACCATCTTATGATCCATAACATGTAGGTCATAATCTGCTGCATAATTGTGTCTTGTGTTTTCATTAATAATCAAGTTGTTTCCTTACACTCTGGACATCTTCCATTCTATCTGGGTATCATGCACTTAGATCATGTATGCAATTTAATTCTATACATTACCTGCTCGAGTTTAAGTTTCCTTGAACCCTTATCAGCAATTTCAATGTTGTTGTTATGCAATATGCATTGTTTCATGACTTTTTCTTCAGCATCATTGCGTCAACATGCCTATCATTAATAGATTTCGATGATGTTTGAGCATGCATATGCATGCTTACCTACTTAATTTTTGCTGAGCATGCCTATTAGTTTAATGTTTATGAATGTAATTGCCTAGTATATGCTTTATTCCACTTCTCATGCTTCGCTTTTAAAGAGAATGACTTATCGAAGCTTATATATATATGTAGTATTATATGTTTATGGCTAAATGATATGACTTAGACCAAGATAGTTTTGAGCATAAGATATGAAATTTGAAGGTACGTATTAGTCTTTGGAGATTTAATTTATCTAATTAAATAATTCCATTGAATAAAAAGGTACTGATTTATTGAGATGCATGATGGTCATTATCATTGACGAGGAGGTAAAAATGTTAATGAATTTATGATATTACGTACATTATGTTTATTATATTAATTAATTATTAATTTGTATCAATTTAAAATATTATTTTAATAATTTTTATTTTTTTAAAATTATTTTAATTAATTATAAGAGAGTTAACTTGTTAATCTATTAAACTACTAAACTATTTTATATAATTTTTATATTTAACTAGTCAACTCACTGTAAGACAAGACAATATAACTCAATTTTTTGACATGTTTTGTACCGGACTTTGCCAACCTATTTGCATCATATAATTTTTTAATTAAAAAATAAATATATTTCACATAATTTATTTAATAGAGTAATGCTATTTTAACACTTGATTTATGTGTTTATATTAGACCCCTATATAAGTTTAAAATAATAATGTTATATTTATATACGATGCTTTGTCTAAATTCAAATCAGATATTAAAATGATATTGCTGTATTTGATATATAGATTGATGAGTATTTAGTCTCTTTTATAACTTTTTTCTTTAATTTAAAAGTTTTTTTTCTCTTTAAAATTTTGGATGTAATAAATTGTTTTAGTCTTTCTCTGTCCGAAATCAAATTAAAATTAGATTTAAAGATATATTATTAAAAAACATTTATCAACCCAATAAATTGTGTAATAGAATTAGGTTACAAGTTAAAAAGCTAACAAATCATGTAACCCGGGGAAAAAAAAGTTAGTGACATATTTTCATTCCAAGAATAGTTATGATCCTACTTTTACAAACATTTTCTGCTAAATTTCAATGAAAGTAATTTTCTCTCATCATTTTAATAGCTATGATAATTAGTAAGTCTTAATAACAAATGTTATGTTGTATTGAATTGTATCTTTGACATTTAATATTTAATCTTAAGTTAATTGTATGTTACTTAATCAAGAATGAGATCAAAGCAGAAATTTAAGTTTTTTATTACAAAATCACGATGAAATTTCTCTTATTTGCATAACTAATGTTGTCTATCAAAGTTTTTTTTGTCAATTTAAAATATGTTATATTAAGCTTCATTTTGTATTTATGTTTTATTGATACTACAATGACATCTTATACATTTTCAATTAATTTTTTTAACAAACCTTAACTAATACACAGAAAAGGAGATAAGCAGAGCAAGGAATAATAATAAGGTGAGTTTTTACGAGTACAAAGTACAAACCAGACGCTCAAATATCTGTGATATCTTCGACCACAATGTTAAGGCAACCATTATTAAAGTCAAAAAGTCATAATTGCTTTCCAAGACCATTAAGTAATCAAGTGATGACATGTGTTACCATTTTATATTGATATATCTATGGGCTTCTCTTTCAAACGGATCTAGCAATTCACAATTTCTAAATATCCACTAACAGTGGTATCACAAAAAATTATTATTATTTTATACAAAATAGCCTAAAATCAAACCATATTTGTTGTTATATGCCACGGCAAGGTGGGGGGCATGTACAATCACTCAACCAACTAGATTCCATCCTATTATTTCTTTTGAAAAAAATGAAGAAAGAAAAATGAAAAACACCAATCAATCATAGAGTTTATACGATAAAATTGGCTGCGAGTGAGAACAGAGAGAACCTTAAAAGTAAAGAAAGAAATCCCTTTCTTATCTTCGTGCCTGCAATTTTCAACCTTTTTTCTAACGACTAGTAACTACTAACATTTTTTCATTTCCAAACATGATTAATTAAAATATACAATAAATTATCATCATTATTATACACTTAATAATAATAATAATAATTTGGAATTGAAGAGAGAGAACGCTACGGCACTGTGTGTTTCTACGCAACCTTCTATCTTCCAATGGCGTCTCTCTTCCAATGCCACCATACCCATCACCCCCTTCTTCGTCTCCATTTCTCCTACCATGTGAGTGCTTCCCTTTTCCTCTTTGTAGAGATTCTCTGGTGCTACCCATGTGATAAAGATTCGTTTTTTATTTGTAGATCCCCATGATGACGACGACGACTTTTTTTTTTCGGGAAAAAAATTGTATTAGTTTGTTGCTGATTACTTGAAAATCCTTTGTGATCTGTGTACCCAGTTGATTTTTCTTTCATGGGCATGTGTATATCTGCATTGTAGTTGGAATTTGCTTGTTGATGATGTTGGCATATATTGCTCTTTGGTCATGCTTGCTGATTGTTGTTTTTGAATTATCAGAGTGATCCATGATTCCGGTTTTGCTTGATGCTGCTGGGGTTTATTTTCACTGGTGGTGATCACTGAGGTGATACTGTGAGCTATATGATTTGTTCTTCATCTTATGTGTTTTTGGAATTTGCTGTTTGAAGAGAGATGTATGAGTCTGACAAGTAGTGGATGTTTCTGGGAAAGGATAATTTTTTGGTAAAAATATATTCTTGGGTGGAGGGGGAATTTAATTAGAAATAAGTTTTTTTCTTCCCTGGGTTAGGATGGATTTGCAGAATAATATGCAGCCTGAATTGGGCAAATTGGAACAAATTGTTTATCAGTTTCTTTTGAAGTGCTTACACGTTATTCTGGACTCAAGGGTGCCTTTGTTACGCCCACATGATAGAAGTGGTGACCTGTATACGGGTTCTCGTGTGAGGAGGAGTGACAAGTGGTTTAACTTGGCATTAGGTGATAGACCTTCTGCGCTGGATAACTTGCACTTTTGGCATAGAAATTTGATGGATCCAATGATAATTGACATTATACTAGTTCATGAAGTTAATGGTTCTTCTGTTGAGACGGTTATAGAGAGGTGGGTTGTTCAGTATGAGTGTCCCCTTGTAGTGGCTCCTCATACAGGGGACATTACTAGCTTTTACAAGAAGACTTACCAGAAGTCAATAGTACTTTTCCGTGCTCTTTATTCTCAAATGAGGCTTCTCCCGGCTTATAAGATATTTAGACAGCTAGGTACATCAAGCCATACTTGTAATTTTGATATTGTTTACAAGGTCTCTTCCTTTAGTGATCCATTCTCTCGGGCAGAAGGAGGAATAATGGAAGAATATAATTTTGCTCCTGTTGAGGCCCTTCCTGGCCGCCTTTGTATATCTGTGACCTACCGCACTACGCTATCTGATTTCAACCTCGAGTGTTCAACTTCATTGCCAACAAAAATAATTACTGATTATGTTGGAAGCCCCAATACTGACCCTTTGAGGTCTTTCCCTGCCTCGGAAAAGGGTGTTCGTGCCACTTCCTTTCCAGTAAGAGGGATAGCACCGCCATCTTCTACTTCTATGCCACTTGATCGACCTCATAGCTGGACATGTGGCTTCCATAAAGCAGCACCATTTGTACAGAACCATCCATATGTTGGCTCCCCACCGGTGTATCGTGCTTCTCCCAAGCCATATGATTTTCCATCTCCACCTACTGATAGTCATGGTGTCAGAATGCACAACTATCGAATGCATAATCGGCAGAGGTCTACAAGTTACGATGAGTATCAACTTTCTCCTCCATTCTCACCCTCGCCATCTCCATCGCCACCTACCTACTTCTATGCTGGCAATCCAATTCAAACCCGTGTACGCTCTGAATCAGCCCCTGTAACTATACCTCATCCTCATTCAGTAATGGGAAAAAGCTCTAGAAACCTTTCTCCTAATTTTTCTGATCCCAGCAGAAATTCGCTGCCCCCTTTATCTCCCAGAAGGAATGATGGTTCATCACAGGAATCTGCATCTGGAATCAGGTCATTAAGGAAATTAGAAGCTTCAAGGACTGGTCAAAAGGTAACTTTGGTCATTCATTTCTACTTCTGAAGTTAGAATCAAGTATGTTTATCTGTTTTGACAAGCCTAATATTCACTGTGTAGATTGTCAAAGATAGCAAGGATGATTCTGGGCGGTTCTCAGGATTGTTATCTTCAAGTGGCTCACCACGCATTGGATTTTCTAGAACCTCAAGTAGATTATCTTTTCAGGATGACTTGGACGATGGTGACTTTTCATGTCCTTTTGATGTTGATGATGTTGATATACCAGATGTTCAATCCAGGTACTTTAGTAAACTTTGTCATTCACAACTAAAGTGCTAGGCATCTGTAAGCGTACTGACAGTTTGTAATTAGTGTGATATGTCCCCTGTTTTACTTTTAGCAGATATCCTTCCTCAATGATATTTTAGAAAATAGCAATGCCTATCACTGAAAATTATATTGGATGTGTAACTTGTTCCAAATTAGTAGTTACTGTAGTCTGCTTACATGATCAGAATGGTAAAAGAAAACCTGCATTTTGGGACTGATGTATTTTAAACATTGACAATGTTCTAGACATGTGTTCAACAGATAAAAAACCGACGGATATTCCATGGAATGCTTTAAGGGAAAGACCAGTACATTTTTTGATATTATGATTTTGTTTTTGTGGGACTTTATAGATCTGTTTGCTCGGTGTTATTTCTGTGATTCTTATTGGTTTTAAAGTCAAGTTTTGATTAGTAAAATGGGTCACATGTGAAGGTTATAATTTTTTAATCACCATAGATTTATTTTATATCTCTATGATCCTTTTCCAGTCAAAGTGATTGAGCATAAGGTAATTAAAAACTTCTAGGAATACTTTTTTAACATACTTTAATTTTAATAATTGGTCCATATTAGCCCTGTAAACTCCATTAATCTGTATCTTGGTAAATTTAGAGATCAAAAAGACCATAAAGTTTGTAATTGCTATTTCAGAATTCAGAAGTAATAATAAATAACTGAAAGGTTCGTATGGCTTTTCTAATAGATTCCCCTGCTTTATGTAATCTGAATGTAATTAGAATAAAACTCTTTCATATATTAAGTTTTTGCTTCTTATACATACAAAGGTGTTTCTCAGATTTTTCAGTACCAGAAAAATAAGAAAGTTTACTATAAGCATAGGGCGTTCCACAATTTAATCAAAATAGTTGTTTTTATGACCAAGTGATTAATCTCCAAAAGCCAAGTTTGTCATAGCCTCTTACTGAATATCCTGTGTATCCTCTCACAAGTTTGGTTATAGCAGTTGTCATATGCAAGTTTGGTTATAGATCAAATACTTGACAATAGTAGTTACTAGTTAGTAATATCTAAATCCCTGGATGGATACACCTTTTCTGGTTTTTTAGTCCATCCACTTTGAGCAAAATTGTTTCTTGTCCTCCTGTGAATAGAATTGTGATCTCTGGATATATTTTGAGAACAGGGTTGTAACTTGTCCACTATATCTCTCTAAATATAGGTGAGCCCAATTGGATTGTTAAATATGAGGCCATCTGATTTTAAAGTGATTACATCATCTTTTATGGCATGATTTTTAGTTCGGCAAAAAAGGATAGAAGGAGACCTAAAAGATCTTTGGAAGAAATTATTAAAATGGATCTTCTGATTAATAATATCCCAGCTAATTTGATTTTTGATAGAGCTTAATAGCATTGTATAATCCATGTAGCTGATCTCACCTTGTGAAATAAGACTTAGTTGTTGTTGTTATATATCATCTTTTATGGGATAGGGTTTTTTCCCAACTTCCATGTGGCTGCCCAAACATGGCTTTTCCCCTGAGTTTGTTTGAGAGTGTGGTGTTTCTCTCCCTGACATATTATTTTTTCAGAATAATGGTCATGTTTTTTATTTACCAATAACTAACAAAATTAAAAGTAATATGTACACTTTTACATGGTTTGTCAACTTACGATTACTCACATAACCCCCCAAAAAAGACTTCATGATTGCTCGTTGTTGTCAGTTGCTGTTTGTCTTGGTTTTTTAGTCTTTTCATATATTATGACTGAGGAGGAGGTGAGCCGCCAGCTACATATGCCTGTGCTTGGTATCCACTACACCTGAATTTCAAGATGATAGATTCTACTTTGGCAACTTGACTTGCTATAGGAACATGTAGTTGCATGTCATTTATCTGCCAGTAACATGCTCATAGATTAGCCTTTTGGGAACTGATGAAAACTTGTTTGATTAGTTTTTGCAGCTCTATGGCCATTTGTAGATTCTTTGTTAGGATGTTTGATTGGAAGAGGGAATTGTGCAGAATGGGCAAATTGCTGTGCCAATTCTACTTCAGCATTTGTTAGATGTTTGGGAATACTGTTTTACCATATTATTCTTATTTGATCTGCTGCTTTGATTTTGGCCTACTTTTCTAAATGCTTCTCTCAATATCTATGAATTTGTGTTTGAATATCTAAATTTTTCTTCTCTTTTCTTGTTTATTTTATGCATAGTCATAATGCGGATGGGAAGAGTGCTGCAGAGATCACTTCAACATCACTGCCAATGGGAAAAAAATCACAAGATGCTGCTGTTGGTGTTCTTGTGCACATGCTAAGGACAGCACCTCCTTTGCGCCAAGACCCAAGTTGTTACTCATCTCAATCCCCGAAGGCTGATCTTGAGGGAGGAGTTGCCACTGCTTCTGGATTCTTCATGCCTCGAAAGACGGCTGATGCACTTGAAGAGCTCAGGAGTTACAAAGAAATGAGAGACTTTCTTCTTTCTAAGAGTGGCACTCGGATCCTGAACAGAGATGAAGCTAAAGCATCCTCAAATATTGGCTTTTCATCAAGGTCTTAAAAACATTGCTGGGGTGGGGGTGGGGCGTTGTTGATGCTGACCAAAGAGTGGTACTAATTACAGTTATACAGAACATACACTTCTTTTGGGAAAGAAAATGATCTAATGGATTTTTGTACATATCCTGACTCTGTTGGCTAGAAACAACAAAAGTTATTTTACAATGACCAAAATGCTTCTAATTTGCGCTGAGTCTTTAAAGTAACTTGCTTACCCTGTGAATGTGGCAATGGCAATGGTTGGAAAAATATTTTTACTGGCGTTTTGATTGAAAGGTTGTTGAATTTCATTGTGTAGAACTAAAGATGGATGCAAGCATAGAAACACTGCTTAAAATGTATAATGGACTTTTTTAGTATAATCACTCACTCTGATAATTTTATTATAGAAGATGTTGACATTGAAGGAGTTTAGTGTATTGTTTCTATTTTGAATAATATCTTGGTGTACTGAGAAGTCCTAATCTTTAGGAATATTTATTTGGATTTGATTTGTTATTATTTTTTTCATTTCTGTTATCACTAGCCTTTATTTTAGCTAAGTGGGCTATTTTTTAGTTGTAGTGTGTACGTGTATTGATTGGCTTAAAAGGCTATTTAAGCCAAGACTGCAAGTCGTTTTTCAGCAACTCAGTTTTGTTGTGTTCTTAATTTAGATTTATTTCAGATAAAAGTTTTCAACAATCTGGTATCAGAGTCCCTACTGGGCTTGATACATCAAAGCAGCAGTCTTTAAATTCTTACAACAACACAGAAAAATGACTACAGAAGGGAGCTTCATACAACCAACTATTCCACGGTTTGATGGTCACACTGACCATTGGAGCATGTTAATCGAAAATTTCTTTCGATCTAAGGTATATTAGGAGCTAATTGAGCCTGGCTATGTTGCAACAGCAAGCAAAACGGTACAAACAGAAGCACAACAAAAGAGGAACGATGAGATGAAACTCAAAGATCTTAAAGTAAAAAACTATCTCTTTCAGGCGATTGATCGAACTGTTCTCAACACCATTCTCAAGGACACTTCTAAAGAGATATGGGATGCTATGAAGAAAAAGTTTGAAGGAAATGCAAGGGTCAAAAGGTCTCATCTTCAAACTTCCCATAGAGAATTTGAAGTTCTTGAGATGAGGTCTGGTGAAGTAGTGACAGAGTACTTCTCTAGGGTCATGATAGTGGCCAACAAAATGCAAATTTATGGTGAAGATATACCAGATGTTAAAGTGGTGGAAAAAAAATTCTCCGTTCTTTAACATTTGAGGAGTCAAAGGACATTGATGCTCTTTCTGTTGATGAGTTACAAAGCTCATTAATAGTGCATGAACAGAAGTTTTAGAGACGCAATGGTGAGGAACAGGCCTTGAAAGTAACATTTGTAGGAGAAAGAGGTCATAGTCGAGGTACCCACAACAAAGGAAGAGGAAGAGGTCGAGCAAATTTCAACAAAGCAACTGAAGAGTGTTACTAATGCCATTAACTTGGACATTTTCAGTATGAATGTCCTCGAAACAAAGAAGCAAATTATGCAGAGATTGAAAATAAAGAAGAGATGCTTTTGATGTCTTATGTGGAGTTATATAAGGCTAAAAGAGGAGATGCATGGTTCCTTGATTCAGGATGTTCTAATCACATGTGTGGTGATTCAGCTATGTTCCATGAGCTTGATGAAAATTTCTGACATTCAGTAAAATTAGGAAACAACACTAAGATGAATGTGATGGAAAAAGGAAGTGTGAAGTTGCTGTTAAATGCAGTCAATCTCGTAGTCACTGAAGTATACTATATTTCAGAGTTGAGAAATAATCTCTTAAGCATAGGGCAATTACAAGAAAAAGGTTTGACTATTTTGATTAAGGGGGGAATGTGCAAGATATTTCATCCAGAGAAAGGTTTGATAATTCAGACCAACATGAGTGCCAATAGGATGTTTATCTTGCCACCTCAATCTTTGACTCCCCCTTAAGCACAATCTGATCAGTGCTTTCACACAAGAACTCAAAATATATCTCATCTTTTGCATCGAAGGTATGGGCATCTGAGCTATAGTGGCTTAAGAACACTACTAAACAAGAATATGGTACATGGACTTTCTCAACTCTCTGTGTCAACGGTGACCTACACTGATTGCATGAATGGGAAGCAACATTGTGATTCTATTCCAAAGAAGAGTAATTGGAGAGCAACTCAAAAGTTAGAACTTATTCATGTAGATATATGTGGTCTGATCACTCCAACATCTAATAGTAACAAAAAGTACATTATATTATTCATTGATGATTATAGTAGAAAAGCATGAGTGTATTTTTTGGTAGAGAAGTCAGAGACTTTAAACTCCTTCAAATGCTTTAAGACTATGGTTGAGAAAGAGGCTGAGATGTCTATTAAGTGTTTACGAACAGAGGGAAGAATTCAATTCAAATGAGTTCAATGATTTTTGCAAATAAAGTGGGATAAAGAGGCAATTAACCACTGTTTATACTTCGCAATAGAATGGCGTTGCCGAAAGGAAAAATAGAACAGTGATGAATATGGTCTGTTCCTTGCAATCTGGCAAGAACATTTCCAAGACTTTCTGGCCAGAGGTAGTGAACTGGACTATTTATGTTCTAAACAGGTGTCCTACATTGGTAGTGAAGGATGTAACACCAAAGGAGTCTTAGAGTGGAGTAAAACCCTCAGTTGGTCACTTTCGAGTCTTTGGATGCATAGCACATGCACATGTTCCAGAAGCAAGAAGGACTAAACTTGACAATAGAAGCATTACTTGTGTATTGTTGGGAGTTAGTGAGGAATCAAAAAGGTACAAACTGTTTGATCCTATTACTAAGAGAGTTATTGTGAGTAGAGACGTCATTTTTGAAGAAGAAAAGTAATGAGATTGGGATGAAACACAAACAGTACCAGATTTAGAATGGGATGATAGTGAGAATGAAAATGAAAATGACAGAAATATTGATGGAGAGATAGAAGTGGTTAATAACGAGAGATTTGAAGATGAAGAAGATTATGATTCTAGTGAAGGTGAAGATAGAGTGAGGGGATTGAGGCAATCTAGAGACAGGCAACCTCCTACATGGATGGGTGATTATATTAGTGGTGAAGGTTTATCGGAGGATGAGACCTATATGGCCTTAATTGTGTCAATTGATCCACCATACTTTGAGGAAGCTGTGAAGAGTCCAAATTAGAGATTGGCTATGGATGACGAAATCAAATCCATAATAAAAAAAATCAGACATGAACGCTCACTAAACTACCTACTGGGGCCAAAAAAATTGGAGTGAAATGAGTTTATAAAACCAAATGCAATGAACATGAAAAGATTGATAAGTACAAGGCTCGGTTAGTGGCTAAAGGGTATTCCAAAAAGCACATAATTGACTACGTAGAAGTTTATGCACTAGTGGCAAGGATGGATACAGTAAGAATGATTATTGCTTTAGCTGCATATAAGAATTGACAGATTTTCTAGCTAGATGTTAAGTCGGCTTTCCTCCATGGTGAGCTAAACGGGGATGTTTATGTGGAGCAGCCAAAATGATATGAAAAATGGGGCAATGAGCATCTGGTTTACAAGTTGCATAAAGATTTGTATGGATTAAAACAAGCCCCACGAGCTTGGTTTAGTCGAATCGAAGCTCATTTTGTTGGCGAAGGATTTTAGCGGTGTAAAAGTGAGCAAACATTATTCACCAAGAGAAACAAAGGAGGAAAAATTATCATTGCAAGTGTTTATGTTGATGATTTAATTTTTACTGGTAATGTGAAGTTATGATGTCTGAATTTAAAAGCTCCATGTTAAGAGAGTTTGATATGTCTGACTTTGGGAAGACGAGGTTTTTACTTGGGATCGAGGTGCTGCAAAGACCTGATGGTATTTTTATATGCCAAAGAAAGTATACATTGGAAGTCTTGAGAAGGTTCGGTATGATAGAAAGTAATTCAGTGTGCAATCCAATAGTTTTAGGTTTCAAAATGAGCAAAGATGGAACTAGAAACTTTGTTGATGAAACTTATTATAAGCAGCTGGTTGGTAGCCATAAGACCTAACATGATGTTTGTTACCTGTAAATATATGGCAAAACCAATGGATATTCATCTGCATGCAGCTAAAAGAGCACTTCAATATCTAAAAAAGACTGTGAATTATGGAATTTATTATAAGACTGCAGAAGATGGTGAACTATTGGCATTCATAGACAGTGACTATGCAGGAGATATGGAAGACAGGAAGAGTACATCCAGTTATATGTTTTTGATAAGTTCAAGTGTTGTCTCATGGTGTTCAAAAAGAATAGCCTATTGTAACTTTATCAACCATAGAAGCAGAATTTGCAGCAACTGCTTTATGTGCTTGTCAAGGAGTTTGGATGAAAAGAATCTTAAAGAAGCTAGGGCATTCTTATGGAGACTGTATAACTGTGATGTGTGATAACAACTCAACCATCAAATTATCTAAAATTCCTGTTATGCATGGTCGCAACAAGCATATTGATGTGAGGTTTCATTTTCTAAGGAATCTTACCAAGGAGGGTACAATTGAATTAATTCATTGCAGAAGTCAAGATCAGGTGGCAGATATAATGACCAAGCCATTGAAGATTAAAGTTTTTCAGAAGCTTTGAAAGCTACTAGAAGTGTGTGACATTTCTGATATAAACTAATTGCTTCATAGCACTTAATTTAAGGGAGGAAATGAAAGAGTTTACTGTATTGTTTTTGTTTTGAATAATATCTTGGTTTACCGAGAAGTCCTAGTCTTTAGGAATATTTATCTGGATTTGATTTGTTATTATTTTCTCATTTCTGTTACCATTAGCCTTTATTTCAACTAAGTGGGCTATTTTTTAGTTATAGTGCATACATGTATTGATTGGCTATTTAAGACTGCAAGTCATTTTTCAGCAACTCAGTTTTGCTATGTTCTTAATTTAGATTTATTTTAGATAAAAGTTTTTAACAAACATTGATCTTTAAGATTGATTTTAAACAATTAAAGGCAGAATTTTTTTTTATTGAAAAACCATTTATTATGTTTGTATATTTTAATATAATAATTTTTTTAGTAGTATTTTGTTACTTTTATATGCTTAATAATATCTTGAAGTTATTTCATACTAATTATGACTTAGTCATCATTTAGTATCATTTTGCCTTTAAAGTTTCAACCTAAAGCAACCGCTTGGTAAATTATACCTAACTTGTAATTTTTTTTCTAATGAATGCAATAATCTTTTTGTTTGTATAAATTTTGAAACCTTTACGAGAAGCATTTTAAATTTTTTTTAAAGCTAAACAATATTAAAAACATTTAAACACATGTTTAACCTTTACAACATCATGTCTAAATAAATTAATGTAAAATTGGACATAAGTTTAAATTTTGAGTGCATGTTTAAATAACCATTAATGTTCTTAAGTTCAAGTTTGAATAAGTTAATGTGGTTTGAAATTTGTATCATTA